AAGAAGTGGATTATCCTTCACCTGAAATGTTTGTCTTTTCATCCTGAAATGCGAGGCAAATGTTGGATCACAATAATTAGGAACCACAGTTTCCACAAATCCCTTCACTTGATTGGGATGTTCTCTTTTATTCTGGAAGGCAAGGGCAGTGACTGTAACATCGAGCATATTTTTCAGTATTAAACACGTATTTATACCGATTTCATCAGGCTCCGAAAATTCTTCAAAAAGAACACAAAGAATGGCCTTCTCAGCTGTCATAGTTGCAACTCTTGCGTCATCAGAACAGTGTGTTCAACGCACCACTGTTTCCGTTTAAAAAACGTTTTGCACCGTTTTTGTCGGGGCTGAACGCAGCCCTGAATTCCAGACGTGTCTCGCGCTCGCAGCTGATCATCAAATCACGTGACGCGCACATTACGGAAGCGCTGCTGCAGTTCACAGTTTATGACAAACTGTTTGTTATTCTGTGATTTACAAACTGGATCAGGATTCGTGCGCAATGATACTCTTCTATTGTTGAAGTGAACCTTAAAATTGTAAGTTTGCTTAAATAAAACATATGTAGGCTAGAAGGTGTAGTGCAAAAAGTTCTCGCTTAATCTTATTTATGGCTTTCTATGAATTAGGCATCAGTTGGGTCGTGAGCTTTAGTTTTATTCTGGAGGAACCGAGAGGTGTGTTGTGGGCTTTTGCTGCAGTTTAGATGCGACCACAGTATCGTCCTATTGGGTATTGTGTACTTGTTTGCATTGTATTATATTTTTGCATTGTATTATTTAGGAACAATTCCTACTGAAAAGATTATGGAAGTACCTATATTAATTTTAAATTCTTGAAAGATTTGTTTTTAAGTCCTTTTGGGGTCTTACAGGAGCGGTTATCCCATTAGGATTCATGCTGGCCCTTTAATAACTATTCTTGTGTATAATATAGGATTCATCCATTACAAATTATTAGGCTATTTTTAGGACTGGTAAAGAGTATACTGTATTATTTTTTCTTTTTTTTTTTGACTAGGTGCGTTGAGAAGTTTATGAGACTGACGTTTAAATGAAGCCCTGATAGAATTATGCAAAGTGAAAGAAACAGTATAACTAGGATGAACTCTTCTTCTAATAATTGCATTTGTGTTCAGGTAAAATGAAGTGTCTTCTGGTGGCCAATGAGAGCGCAGAGGTTCTGTTCTACTGGACTGACACCGAGTTCGAGCAGCGGATTCAGGAGCAGTATGGAGTTTCCCAGGAGGAAGGAGAAGGAGTGAGATCGATGCTCAAAATGAATGCTGTTTGACTTAAAGAAACATGAAACGGAGATATTTAAATATAGATAAATATTTAATATAATTATTATTTGATGATATATTATGATATGATAATGATTATTTTATAATATATATATATATATATATATATTTTTTTTTTTATATATGCATACATGCATGTAAGTGTGGAATATTTAATGGTTATTAATATTATTTTTCATGTGTTCTCAGCTGCCTGCGTTTGAAGACAGCATTAACACTCTCTTCGCACCCATCATCATCTCCTGTAGCACCATGGTGGACCGACTCGGGGACAATTACACCTCCTTCAGCACAGCAAACAATCATATTTATGTTCTGCAACAGGTAATCCTCAGCAGAATGAAAGAGTCATCTGATCTAATAACATGCATGCATCCTGTTATGGACAGACAGCACTCATTCAATAAATCACTTGTAAAATACTTACAAAATATTATACTATATAAGTAATGTTATATCAATTATATTTTTTATATTGTGTGTATATACAGACTGTTTTTACACTTTATAAAAAACAGTATTTACAAGTTATATATAAACCATTTAATGAAATTTAACAATATAAATGATTTCTATTCTATAGATTGCCCCTTTTTAAGAAATTATATGTATTTTTCAAACTCTTATACTATAACATTCCCCAACTTTTCAAATTATTCAAATCAATCTGACACCAACATGTTGATGTCATGCAGTTTGAGGAATGTCTGTACATTGCTGTGAATGGAGACGGAGATGAGACAGAAGAGGATTTGAAGAGAAAGATCTATGTGATGAAGAAACTCACAGAAATCATGTTTGGCATGGTGACGTTCAGCGGTGCCCTCTTGAGGAAAGCGTGAGAACAGCATTTTCAGTTCAAAACCAGATTTTA